ACACAGCTACAGTTTTACTGCAGCTTTGTACACCTGATCTCTGTTTTATGTAGTTATCTGATGCCATTGCTCTCTAAGTCTGTATTTTAAATAAGATTTGAAGAGAGACCGATTTAAAAATTCTCAGTGACCCAGTGAAATCTGAACTACTTATTGCAAGACAAAAAGTCTAATGCTCCAATCAAAATAACAACTTGGAATGTGTTTTATTAAAGGGAGTTCATTTAATATTACCCAAGAGTGCTGTGGATTTGAAAGCACATTCTTGAATTTGAACATTCATATCTAGGTAATAAGAATGAGGGGAAAATAGTCATTTATAATATTGAACGGTTTGGGCCAAATTCTGATTCCATGTAGAACTAGTCACGGCATCTCCGCATATGTTTTCCCTAAAGTGGCATGTCCTTGGGTCCTGCCTGTCATTTTGAGGTGAAGATGGGGCTGCAAAAACATATATCCTGCACAGAACTCCACTAAGATTTCTGCTGTCTTTTACTTTCTCATCACTGCTATTTGTCTGCAATATTTTGAGGTGAGCCTACTTTCAGTGAGAAAACAAAACCTGATCCAGTCTCAGCGGAACTTAAGTCTAACATATGCCACGGAGGGGTGAAAAAATAATGGAAAAAAGTAGATTATATGCATAAACACTGGGAGCATTTCACTTGTAAATATTCCTTGATTTTTATTTTTTTTTTTTTTGTCAGCAATGTTATGCAAAAATATTTAAATTAGCCGGTTATAAAAGTATTACTGTCAGGGTAACACGGATACGTAATTGACCACGGACAGAAAATCTTACAAAGCAATAGGATACATTTACATCTCTGTTAGTGGAAAATTGGTAGTCACTCCAAGGAAAACGGGTTTTTCCAGTGCAGCTGTTTAGTATTTCAGGAGAGCGGGTCTAAATGACTCCTAGTGACAGAAAGCAGCATGTATGAGACAAGTCACAAGACATGATTTTTCTCTTCAAAGATAGTTCTGCGAGTAAAAAAGACTCCGATACACATCGTCAGGCAAAAGAATAGCCTAGCGACTGACTTGCTATGAAGCTGAAATACTGCATCTCTCTCTCTCTCTTTTTTTTTCTTTTTTTTTTTTTTTTTTTTTTTTTTTAAACGGGAAGTCTTAAGTAAAACTGTAATAATCTGTTTATTTGATCTGAGACTTTACAGCTTCTGTGATGTGAAAGGTATCTTTTTCATTTGTCGTAAAAACCACATCACAAGGTGGCTGTAAGATGCGGTCCAATCTGCAGCCAGGCTGGGGCGTGGGGTATGGCAAAGGACTTCGAGCTCCCTGCGTGTAACGAACTCGGAGAATTGAGGGAATTTGAGAGGAATATGCAAAATAAATAAATAGTTCACCGGTTAATCTAGAAGTCAGTGAGTTGCGGGTGCAGAGAGCGGCAGTTTAAAGTTCCAGTATCACTGGTGAAGCTTTTTAATGGAGAACCAGATCGGGAACGCTTCTAGGTCCGCGATTAGAAGCACCACAGGCCTGAGCTTCACCCTTCCTGCCGCCTTCATGTGCTGTGTGCGGGCAAGGCTGAGGCTGAGCGGGGCTGGCGAGGCGGCTTGCTCTGGCCAAGCGGCCCGGCAGGGCGCCCGGCCGCCGAGAGGCAGCCGGGGGCGGGCAGCCCCAGCCCCAGCCCCAGCCCCAGCCCCAGCCCCAGCCCCCTGTCCGCGCCGCCGGCTGCCCGCCGGGTGCCCCCCCCCGTCCCCCTGTCCGGCTGTGGCGGCGCGGGGCCGGGCTGCAGCCGCGGGGAGCCGTCGGGGCGGGCGGGCGGAGCCGCGGCGCTGCCCTCGGGCGGGTCTCGCTGTCAGTGCTCCGGAGCAGCGCTGGGCTTCGGGACGGGCCCGGGCAGCGCGGGACAGTTCCCAGCACTACCGGAGCAGAAGGAAGCTCCGGCACCCCCGCTGCGCGGACTGCTGCGGTCCCCACGACGCGGTGAACGCGCTGGGACAGCGTGCTCGAGGTGCGTGCTCGGGCGGCGGGGAAGCCTGCTTCGTGCGCGGAGCGAGCCCGGCCGCACGCGAACCGCCACGGGCTTCAGGTCGGGGTGTTTCTGGCCCTTCTCACCCCTGGCTCGGTTGTTCTGACCCCTTTCGCCACCGGCAGCCTGTGCGCCACAGGTCAGGGTTTGGCTTTGTGCTAGGAAGGAGCGCACCTAGCAGCGTGTTGAGCTTGGTGGCAGCGCGGCGCGAGCGTTCATTTAAATGTGAGCCTGAGGAGTGGAGACGGAACAAAGAGGTGCACGTTCCTCTGACGAGGTGCTGAAATTGGCGTCTGCCACTGAGGTGAAGTGATTTAACATCACTTAGATTGGTAGCTTTTGGGACTCCTCTTCTGAAAAGCTAATTGCAATAACTATAAAATACGATCACAGTTTTCTTTGATGAAAAAATATATATTTTTTTTGATAAAAAACAAAAACGAAAACAAAGGTGGATTGAGAAAAATATGCCTTTTTTTTCACGGTGTCATGCTGAAAATGAAAACTAATTTTTTCCCCCACCCAGTATAAAATTGACTAAAGTATTCTATCTGCTTGGTTACTATAAATAAACTGTATCCAGAAGGCAGAATAAAAGCTCATGTATAATTGCTATGGGGGATTTGGATGTTGGTTTCTGTTTTAAAAAGGAGCTGAAGACACTTTCACTTTGACGTCTAGATGTTTCTGCTGTTGTCACACCACAGTGTTTCTAACACACTTTACTTTCTCTTGGTATAAACAAATTGCATAGGCAGCTGAAAAAATCTACACACATTATTACTATCTACTTTTAAAGACTCTTAAATTCCTTTTCAAAGTTATTTATTTGTTAACTATTTAATGCACAGCATACTGCAGTGGTATTGTATGTAGCTGTTGGTAGACGTGGATTTAAGCATCCTCCTTAATATCACATTTTGTAAAATCAAATTGCCAAGATATACTGAAGTAATCATGTATTTCCAGTAACTGGAAGTACTGAAGACCTTCTAAGACGCCAGTGCAGGATGTATTTAATAGTACAAAGCTATTTAAAAAAAATGAGACTAAATTTTATGTAATTGCTTGTTGTTAAATGCATAGACCCAGGCAAATTCAAGTAAAGCATCCATAGGAGTGGTGATTGAAAACTCATAAGGAGTCTTGTAAGGAGATTTTTAACCACATTTGAAAACCATGTCTGCCACTGCAATCTGATGCTGTTTCTGTTATATTCTTGAAAACTGATTTAAGGCACTTACGGTTCAGAGGAAGAAGCTGTGTCAAGCAAATACACGTGCCTGTGACTTCTGAGATCTGCACATAGCATCGTCTTGGTGGCACAGGCAAGTGAGTTTCATGCTGAAATGCCTGCTGGATGCAGTATATTTGTGAGCACAACTGGCTACAGCTTTCGCTCTGATTTGAGGAATGACAACTTACATTGATTTTTCTGGTGTGGATGCTCAGTGTTAGGGGTGAGACGAGACAGTCAGTTACTAGAGTGAGTGAGTATGTCTGCTTCCCCAGAAACAATTTAATGTAAGGCAAAATGAAATCGTCATTAAAAATGACCTGATATTTTAAGAAAGCAAAAACAGATAAAAAGCTTGGGCTGAGAATACCCTTTCATCAATTAAGTAGCTAAGCACACTTACAAACGGCAAAGATTTGTCAACATTAGGAAAATGTTTGCTTATCAGCAATTCCTTCCTTCTCCCAGAGCCCCCAAATTGCCTTGCTAAAGGCTGCTGTCTGGTGTCATGTGTGCCCTTGCCATCCACCTGGATGCAGGCAGTCTGTCTCTGAACACTGCTTTAGAAGCATAACAGAATTAGTCAGAGCAGCTGGAAGTAAAGCAGGGCATGACAAAATCAATCTCAAAAGGAACTTGTGAATCCTGGAAAAGCATGGCTGTCCCCAGGTGTGCAGGCAAAGCAGAAGGCAGCGGTGTATGCAGGGGTTGTGCTGGTGTTCTGCTGACAGGGTGCAGGGGCTGTGGAACACAGGCTGTGGCATCACCTTCTGAAATGTAAAAAATCCAAAAAGCCTTGTAAAAGTGGCTCAAGTATTTAAGTAAAATGATTCCCTAATCCTTCGCTCAGAATCACGTGACTGCATATTTTTCTTGCAGTAGCGTCACGTTTCCTTTTATTTTTAAGAGTACGAAGACTCTCCAGCAGTCATCAGTGATTGCAGTTAACACACATGAAGGAACATGATGGTGATAGTCCGTCTGCAACTGTTAAACAGAGCAGCCGCAGACTTCCAGAGGTGGTACTGCTTTTACAAGGGACGGGCTCGCGCCACACGCGGGTTCTGACACGGTTGGTGGTCCTAAGGCTGCAAAGCCGCCTGTGCTGGCGTTCACCGTGAGGGCAGGGGCCGTGCCTGGTGTGCCCAGGTGTTTCCAGCGAACTGAGGCGGTGTCGAGCACCCGCTCCTGCCGGGCACAGCCCTGCAGCCCCGCACCACAGTCCCCCAGTGCGTGGCCGGCGCGCACAGCGCGGTGCTGCACGGACATGGTCCACGGCCGGGCCCAGCTTGCATCGCTCGTGCCGCTGCTGCAGCCGGCAGCTCAGCCAGCCCTCTGCGACAGCCCCCGCACACCGGGGCCACCATGGAGACTGCAGGCCAGCTGGAGCCATGCCGTGCCGTCCGTCCGGACCCTCCTGCAGCTGGGCTGCCCGCTCCGGTCTTGCCAGGTAGCAGAGGCTGAGGGGCTTCGGTGGTGCCTCGGGCAGACACCCATGCACAAGCATGGGCGCTGAGGCCTGCGGCAGCCCCTGGGCCGGTGGCCACTGAGAGGCTCTGGGAGCAGCCCACAGTCAGCCCTGAGTGCTCCTCTGACGGTGCCCTGCGGTGCTCCCACCTCCCGCGGCAGCAGCTGCCCTTCAGCCATTTCTTCACAATGACAGTAGTGCCTTGTCCCCTCTGCTGAGGAAGAGAATAGGCCCGTCTCCAATTGCTTATTCTCTGCAGGCAGCCAACAGCTAAGGTCAGCATCAAGCACAAGCCCTTCCCATTCACTTTACTGACAACAGTTTCTCCACAAAGACATCTTGGTCTCTTGCTTTCCCATGCTCCAAACGGATGCACATGCCCTTGTCAAAGTGCTCAGCATGTAAGTTCACAAAGCTAACAAACTCCACAAAAGGCATGAGCTTTTTTTTTTGTTTGTTTTGTTTTGGAGAGCCTGCTACTGCAGACACAGTCTAACCAGTCTTTCAGAATCTATTTAAAGCCCTCAGTTTTCCCTTTGACTGCTACCTTGCATGCCAAATTTTTTACAGTGGAATTAAAGTGTCCCCAAGATGTAGGTTTATGTAATGGAAACAATGACAACCACCTAACTGTACCAAATAAACCATTTCCTTCAGTCAGGGTCCTGTGAGGCTGTGTTAGTAACCACTCAGTCATAAAAATAATGGCTTGGAATTCATTGTTGCTAAAATTTACAAATTCATCATTTTTCTGCAAAATAAACTCCAGCATGCACTGACTTTTTCAGAGGGACAATACAGGAATATATACAGATTAAACGGTGCAAACATCTGTAACATTTAAGGCACGTCAATATTTTATACCCTGCTAAGAAAGCCTGTTCCCATACACCTGGTTGACTTTTTGCCCAACAGTTTGGACTGATGCTGGGTGCTGACCAGATAGAAATGTATCTAAGTGAGCTAATGAAATAACAGTATACGGAGTTGGCTAAAAGAAAAGTAACACTCAATAGCTGCTGGCCAAGGGAAGCAGAACACATTAAAGCAGTGGGGCTAGAGCCTGAAACAGTAAAGTGCAGGAAAACAGTGCCAACCTTGCTGCTCAGTGCAATAGTTAGGAGAGGATCCTGGAGGCACCAGGCTGAAGTCTGCATGCAGCCATAGTTAAGTTTTTCTTTCCTGTACTAACCTCCAGACCAGGTACTGTACTGCAGCTGACTAATGAGTGGCTGTGTTTTCTGAAAGAGCCATCTACATTACTGCACACTTTTCTGAGTTCCTACTGGGTCTAAAAACTTTCAAGGATAACAACACAGTTTTTAGAGTCTCTCCTCTGGAAAATAAAATAAAAATTAGCAGGCCTAAACCCAGCAATTGAAAGGGAAATGCTTCTACAAAGAACAGGGCCAAAGGCTATAGCAAACCAGTTACTTCTGTGATAACTGACACAGTAAGAGAATGTTAATTCAACAGTGCTGTTAACAACAACAACAAAAAATGAGGTTTTGTTTCCTGTGCTTCTATGGCATTACATCTGTCCACAATTCTGTTTAATTAATTTTCTTTCTGGTAATGTCCATGGGAGTGTTACTACCTAGAGCAATTTCAGTATCTTATAAAGAACATTACAACTATCATCCAGTTTGCCATTTGCTTTCAAATGCCTTAGTCTATATCATGATTTCAGCAAAAATACCAAGGTTACTTTCTGGATCATCCTCAGGCTCTAATTCTTCACTATGATCCTTTGGAGAGGTGTGTACATCTTGTTCTTGAATGGTCTCTCTCTTTCTTCTGTGAACGTACACCGAGTGATACTTCTCCGTCTCCTCAGAATGCAAATTGTTTGCACTGACGTCAGCCTCCAAAGCTAACTGTAAGCATTTGTAGAATCTAGAAAGACAAGCATGTAGTTATTTTTGTTGGTTTGCTCAGAATCTGCAGAACTACTCTGAGAAATGAGTGCTTTTGGAATGCAATCAAAACATATTAAGAAAATCCTTACTAATGTTGAAATGGTCTAGCCAGTTCTGGAAGAAAAATTAGAAATACAAGCATGTGTCCTTGTGTATGTCATGCCACTTTGCTCTGTGATGCCACAATGCTACAAATATTAGAAGCCTATTAGTTATTACATTCATGTCCCATTAAGATCCAATTAATCTTACAGAAAACATAAATGTTATCAGGTCACATATCTGATGAATGATGGCACTGATGATCATATGGACATATAAAAATAAATTGGTCTTAGTACATATAGGTGTCTCCTCAGCCTTTTGATCTTCGTGCTCTTTGGCTCTTCTGCTTATTCTGTTCCTCGTCTGGAAATAAACATATAGACCCCCTAGAATGTAGCCTTCTAGCACCTTCATGAAGCACACTGGTTTTGAAAACTACACAAAACATTTAGTGGATTAAAGTGTGCATTGCATTCTGAATACTTCTGAAACAGTTACTGAGATAGAACAACAAATGCTGCTGTAATCATTAGGAAAAAAAAACACAAATTCTACTCAATAATACACAGTCTGCAAACTCTTTGCTTATAGGTTTTTTGCTTCAATAGTTTATAGTCTTCTGAGCTAAAAAAAAAAAAAAAAAGAAATTGTAATTTAGACATCTGGGGTATGTTTGTTTATTTTCCCCCCCCTTAAATAACACCCTTAATGCATTTTTCACTTTTGGAATTAGATGTCATGAATAGGATTAGTATTATCTAACAAACCTGTCAATCCTCTTTGTGTTTTCTTCCATTTTCCGATTAGCCACGTGTATAAGAAACTCGATATATTCTTCAGAGACCATCAACTTCCCCATGTGGCTCAATGGAACTTCTAAGCAGTGAGTACTCCGGACAGCCTAAAAACACACAGAGAAGGATTTCTCTAGAATACTTTTTTTTTTTTTTGAAGGTTATGTAAGCAATATGGGCAATTCATCACAGGAGAACAAAACAAAACAACCAAACAAAACCCCTAAACTTATCCACACAGTTAGTTTGCTGTCAAATAAAACAATGTTATTTCTTTGCAACAGCTTTCTCTTTCATAGCTGTGCTTCACATTAAGAGCCACAGTCTAAATTGTAAATATTTGAGGTTAGCATTAATTAAATATTTTTTATATTCTTTACAGCTAAGGCAGTAAGTCCTTACCATCATGATTTTTCCTCCTCTGCCAACGGTAATACCAGAGTTCTTAAACCCAGAATCAATAGCCACTGAATGCTGCAGCACAAATAAATGTCGTTAACATGTCATATACACTTTCACAGCAAGAAATAACTAGGAATGCATTGCAACGTGATTTATAAACTCCGTTTTTGGGGGAAAAAAATATGAATTTATTCAAAACACCATTTTCCTGAATTAATGCAGTAATAGTTACATTGAGATGGCTTTAAGATCAAACCCACGAAGTGCCACAAATTTTTATGGATGGTTTTCAAAAGAACTACAGCCAATTGATTGTCTAATCCTAAACCATTAATCCAGATGGGCCATTAACATCTCTCCTGGCACTTTACTATTGCATCTTTAAGAGCTGGTAACCATACAGACAATCATACAACACTTTCATAGTTAAAACTGCAGCAGTACTTTAAAAGAACCTAATCAACTCTCTTCTCCATTAATGAAGGAATAAAACCGTCATGCATTGCTCTCCAGAGTCACACTGAAAAAGCAGAAGACAAAGGTGCTACTCAACTAGTTGAAATGCTGGAGCCAAATGGCTTGGCCAGTAGCAAAACAACATTTAAAAAAAAAAGTCAATTTCAGCCAGCAAAAACAATCTAGGCTCACTGCTTTATTTATTTATTTATTTATTTTTTTTACAAGCCAACCTGCTTCAAAGAAGAAGATTAAACTGTAGTTAAGTAATTTTGTTTTCTAAAAAGTACAGCAAGATCTCTCCTAAGTTTAAAGCTGTTTTCTTCATCAGCTTTTAATACCATAGTTGTTAAACGTATAGCACATCTGGGACTATTTTCAAGTGCTAAAACTTACTCAAGAGCCAATACTTTTACTTTTCTAGCATATGACAGACCAACAATGTTACATTGCTACTTGATGTAATTTTACCAGAAGCTGTGCATCTTGCAGCTCTCGACAAAGCACATGAAGAACAAATGGTTCAAACTTGAACACAACATCACCAGTGGCTTTTTCTAGTGCTGTCATCTGAAAAATACATGAAGAATTTACATTAATACTGTAAATACGTATTGTTAGTACCAAAACAATTAAAATAATAGTTAGCATATGAAGCAAACATTAAAAACATAGCAAATGAGATCCAAGCTATCGTGTTCTTTCAGCTGCTTCCAATTTTTCATTGCTCATAATGCACAAAAACTCCACAGATTTCCACGATTTTGTTTTCTAAATTGATTAGGTTCAACAGAAATTCATGGTAAGATAAGACTTCAAAAACTTTAACGTGCTTCCCTGTTTATTTCTTTGTATATTCAAATGAATTGATGCAGTCAGTACAGTATGGGAAGAGGACTGTTTAACTGCAATCAGATGAAACCTGAGAAGTCAGGTGTTTGTTTTGTTACGCTGTTCTTTACCAACAACCACATTTACTTTCTGAAATATATTTCTCAACTTCAGAAAACTTTCTGGGCATCAGCCAATTGAATATATGGCCTAACATATTTGATCACGTTTTAATCCTAATTTAAACAACAATGCATAGCCTACAGTGTCAGAGTTAAAGAAAAACAATTCAGGGGCTGAAATTAGAGATATAAACACACAAGACAAAAAAAAAACAAACAAAACCCAACAACTTAATTACACAATTCAAGAAGTTACCTTAAGACCTAAGTTCCAGTAGCAGAATGAGATGCTAGTAACATTTTTTTTCTGGGTTTGCAAGTGTGGAGAAAACTCTATGACATTCTGTATGTCATTTTAGTACAATTTCTCTACTTTTCAATGCTATCGTTATGTAGAACAACCTTTAATGGTTGATACGGCTTTTTTTTTTTTCCATTCAGATGATCTGCTTTGATGCAGTTGTATTACTTACTCCATTTTATGATTTAATCCTAAGTACTGCTTGTATTTAAGGTTCTTGTTCACCTTCACTTCCTTTAATTTGCAGTGCTAAGAAGCTTGCTACATTAACCTGAGAAGTTTCAGTGACTTTCCTGAATTTTTTTTTCATCTAGCCTCTCATCTTTTCTGTAAGACAAAAATATTTAATAAAATCTTCAGGAAATAATCAAATTCACATGCTTTTTAAGGCACGATGACATAAAATTGCTGAAGTAACACATTTTTCATTTAAGCATTGCAAAATATGTAAATATATTTATGCATCATCCCATCTGTAAATGTTCTTATTTTGAGTTGAAAGCAGGTCTTCCTGAATGTCTAATTTATGTGCCAGATTTTAAGAAATGCCAAGTAACCACGGCTGTGCTAAAGCTGATGAGAAACAGAAGTGACCAACAGTGCATAATGCAGCGTTGTACAGAAATACCTAAGCTAACTTACTTAGTGTTTGCTTGGACCTGGAAACCAGTTGTGTTGACACAGCGCTCCACTGAGGTGAACATGCCCTGCTTGAGAGTGTGCTAACGTGGTGAAAAAGCTTCCTTATCCAGAAGGCTACGCGGAGTCGGGGCAGCTCCCCTGCAGGGCCCTGCACAGGGCGGCTGTGTGCACCCTGAGGCCCCCGCGCCACGGCACGTCTGCCTGGGCCGTGCTGGTGTCAGCAGGGGTACCAACACGCAGCAGCCGGCATTCGTGTGGCTTAACCCGGGCCAGGATCTGCCATCAACACGTTCATTGCCTTTTCAGTTTTTTCCTTTGTTTGAAACTCAGTTCCGACCATCTGAGCGACAGTGTCCTGCTTCAGCAAAACGACTGGCATGTAGTGTGGTTGGAAGCCGAGCTGACAGCCTTGTCTCTGCCACAAGCATTATAACAGAGAGCGCATTATTAGCTGTGTGAGCGTGTGTGATTCCAGTGAGGGTGTTTTTAAGGGTTTCTATTTCCCTGCAAAAGCTAATTAATGTAGCAGATACTTTAGAGGTAGCTTTTCAGTGAGAATACAAATAGCTACAAAAGCCCTATTGGCTGAAATGATCAATGTTTGTTAGCACCACCTCAAAGCTGTCTTACAATACTTATTTCATCAAACAGCTTACTAATGGAACAAAACATTTTTGGTAATTTTTTTTTTTAAATCATCACCTTATTGCTTCTAAATCAATTAAGTTTCTGTAAACTCAAATTAATGAGAAATTACTTTCAGTAGTTCCCTATTAATTCCACAAACCTTGAGGCCCAGACTTGCTCCCAGTTAAGTGCATGGGAGAATACCTATTGGGAACAAGAGTAGGTACCTCATGTTACAGAATCATCGAGTTGTCTGCATTGGAAGGGACCTTGAAGATCATCTGGTTCCAACCCAGTGTCTAAATAGTCAAAGTTTAACTGCTACCATGAAATGACAGAAAGTATTTGTCTCTGGTGAGTAAGAAAGCTCACAAGAATGAAAATCCCTCTCTTTCGACCACAAGAGCAATTGATAGAGATAGGAAGCAGAAAATGACTGGTATCGTTTAATGAAACCATGGCAGCACATTTACTAACACAGAAAACAGCCCCTGTTTCAGGAAGGGCAAATGTCTGTGTTGCAGCAAACACTTTCACTTCCATGTTGTATGGCTCCTAGCCCAGGTAAGATACCATCTGACAAGAGCAGCGTGTAGCCCCCCGCATTTGGCAAAACCTACTCATGAGACAGGGATGAGCAATGATGCACTCGTGGGAAACCTTACACTCACAGTCAAGTACTTGTGAGGTATCCTGTACTAACACTTTGAAAGGTTTGTCAGCAATAAACAGCAGCTGAGGACATACTTTGTAGGTCCATCCATACATACGGGTGGATTAAACTATATATGCATAGGGCCTGGTAGAACTGAACACTCTGCGTGTGCATATCCTGAAGTACTAAATGCTGGCTACCCCAGTTCTGCTGTACACTCATCCAGAAATCCGAAGCTGAAGGCGGCTGAAACTCACACCAGTAAATTGTGAAGGAAAAGAAATACACCAGTTTTATGTCACTTGTGTAATTCTGAGATTATGCTTGTGTCACGTCAATAACCTTGTGAAGAGCTCCTTAATAATACATAATGCTTTTTCTCTAAGTGCTGGGAGGATACGGGGATAAAAATAAAATAAACATCTCATGCTCATTAACATACATGGTGAAGTGAAATACTTTGAAAGCAGAAAAGCAAATCAGAGTATATGATTCTCATTTCCTAAATATTGGACTGGCAAACCTTTATCAAAGGTGTTTAAAAATTATTCAGACATTTTTCTTACAATTCATGCATTAAAAAAAAATCCAGTTTACTTGCTAAAGGAACGGGAAAGATCAGAGCATTTCCTCTCACAGGAGTCAATAGCAACATCCTACAGTGTGCTACTCAGCCTGAAATATACTGATGGAAGTAGCAGCAAGTTCTGTTCTGCTACAACAAATACCAGTGAAGAATATTTAGAAGAAATTTTTTATATGAATGTGTGCAAATGTACACGTATGGCAGAGCAAGCTGTGATTTGAGAGAAGGAATTTGGGACCTTGTAACTGCTTCAGTTCTGGGACAGACCATGGAAAGAAATGCACATAGAAGGCACAGTATTTTGGAAGAAAAAAAAAAGTTATATTTCAGGGGATTTTAAGACAATTAAAAATGCTGTGTAAGAGATTCATTGTTACACTATTTTCAAGTGTCTGCTTGTAAATGAAGGCTGTTCTCACAGCAAGCAAGACCTTTTTTTAATGAAGAAGTTACTACTTATGAAATGAACACACTCACTCACTGGCACACTAACCTAAACACGTCTGCCTTTACTGTAAGCAAAGGAATTAATTTTGGTCGCTTCTTAAACTGCTGACCAAAACAATGAAGCAGAAATAGCCGCAGGCTGTGGAAGTTAATCACTTCCATTAAAGAAACATTTGTTAACCAGAACCGACCCGTTCTGTAACCCACTCTACAGTTACCGCTGCAACCTGCAGGCTCTGACTGGTGGAGGACAGGACGAAGCCACATCATCCTGCACCTGTGGAGCAAGCATCATCTCAGATGGTGCCCCGGAACTTGTGTTAGGCACATGCCTATTTTCCTGAGGCAATTCGGTATGACCAAGGCACACGCTGCTCTGTTTTAGCCCAGCCTTGGCTGTTAACGACTCAGTCATCACTGTAAAAATACCAGCAAGCATCCTACAAAAGTCAGTTTTATTTTGCTGTTGGAGGTGACGGCATTTAAACCAGGATTAATCTCCAGCTGATACCTCGCTGGCAACCCGAGCAGCAGGAAAAACAACGAATAGATGAACAACACCGTTCCTGTGGCAGGAGCCTTTCAGGAAAGGCCGAATACCTGCTGCAACGGGAAAAAATTATGAGCACGGGGAGCTTTTTGGCAAGAAACATCCCTGCTGCGAACTCCCCCCCGAGGGGCGGCCAGCTGCTGCCTCAGGCCCCGCAGCGCCTCAGGGAGCGCTCGCTGCGCGCCGCCAGCCCCAGCCCCAGCCCCAGCCCCGGTGCGCGCAGACGGCGCGGCTGGAGCCCGGCCCGGCCCTTCCCGCCCCGCCCGGTCCCGTCCCGCTCACCAGCTCGTCGCGGCGGCACGGCTCGTGCGTCACCAGCAGCCACTCGCAGCCCTTCTTCGGCGCCCCGCGGCGCTCGGCGTCCTCCTGCCGGGGACAGCAGCTCAAGGGCGGGCTCCCGAGGAGCGGCTCCCGCCCCACCCCGCCCGGCCCCGGCCCCTCCCCGGCAGCCCCCCGGGCCCGGCCCCGCCCCGCCGTGCGCTCACCGCGGCGCCGCCCTGCGCCAGCACCAGGCGGCCCGCGCAGGAGCTGGTGGTGCAGAACCGCGCCCGCGCGTTCAGCAGCCGCACCACGGGCGCCGCGCGCTCGTCCAGGGCGCCCTTACGGCTGGCGTCCGCCCGCGCCAGGCGCTGCGCCTTCCACCGCCCGAAGGCCGCCATGGCGCGGGGCGGGGCGCGGCGGCCGACGGGGGCCCGCGAGGCCCAAACCTCCTTCCCTCGCGCGAGGGCGGGGCCCGCCGGGCCTGCAGCGCCCGCCCCCGGCCGCGCCCCGCCGCCGAGCAGCTGGGGCCGGCGGAGGTACGCGGCCGGCGGGAGGGGCCGGCGCTCGTCCCCGGGCCTCCGCTCTGCCCCGGGCGGCGGGGCGGGAGCTGGCGGCGGCACCGGGCGGCGGCCGGGGCGGGCAGCGCAGGCCGCGGAGAGCGCGCAGGGGGAGCCGGGGCGGGGCCTGGTGGGGCGGGGCCATGGGGGCGGGGCCGCGGCCCAGGGCCGGGGCTGTCTCGGAGCCGGCCATAGCGGCTCGGGGCCCACCTGCCGGGGAAGCCGGGCCCGGCTCCTCTCCGTCCCGCGGCGCTGCAGGGTGGGTGCCGGGCCGCGCCCCCCGGGCCGTGCCCCCCGGGCCGTTCCGTGCTCCCGGGCCAGGCGCGGTGCGGTGCGGCCGGGGATCGGTGCTCACGGCGGGGGGGGGGGGCACAGCGCGACCTGCCCGCGGCCAGGGCCCAGCCAGAGCACGGCCCGCGGGCCTCCTGCAGCACCGCGTGCGGCTCTCTGCAGGCCCGCGAGGATTTGCTGTGCCCAGGAACCACCCTGTCGGAATGGGCCGTGTTGCTGAAGGATGCCCGCACAGCTTCTCCTGTGACAGAAGGACTTCGCTTGTGGCGTTCGTTAATACCTTCCGACAGGGTGCATTGGGGTAGTCCCAGCTTGACGCGTTGATAAATTGTCATCGCTGACATCAAGGCACGGGGCTGTGATCCTCTGCCTCTGCTGCGTACAGCTGCAGTGGCTAAATCCAAACCCAGCTGACGTTATGAACTGCAGTCTGTACTTCATTTTATCCTGACTTATTTTAATACCCTATGGTATCTTTTAATTTTGAAAGCTGTTGTTTTTTGTTGTTGTTGTTTTTCTTTTTTTTCATTTTTGCACGAGTTTGATAGTAAGCGAAGCAGGGACTGCAGTGCTACTTGGTTAGATTAGCCAGGCAGCTGGTGTGCAACAGGCTTTTCTTCAGCAACTCAAGGTTTATTGTGCTAGAAGGTAACAGTACACGGACAGTGCTTTTCCCCAAAGCACCACGCATCACTGCATACGGTATAGCCAGTGCAATGTTTACAGGAGCTGTTGTAGAAATACTTCTATGGATAAATTATTTCCGTATAACTCTTAACAACCATGAAGTCCTGCAAATGGTGGGGTTATTTTTCTGCCTTTTGGGGAGACTTTTTTTTTTTTTTTAAACAAAAATTAAATCAGGAGTGAGGCTTGTTTTAATCTGTTACTTGAGAGGAGGTTGTTTTCTGTCTTGTTTCCAGATATTCTGATGGCTATGGCAACCACAAGAAATGTAATGAGAGCTGTCAGAGTGTTTGAATTTGGTGGCCCTGAAGTACTTAAACTCCAGGCAGATGTTTTAATTCCTGTCCCAAAAGAAAATCAGGTATGTGAGTTGTATGGCCTGAATAGCTACACAGAGAACAGAGTGTGAACAATGAAGTGTGCAAAGCAACACTTTTCATCCTCAGTTTGTACTTGTCGATCAGCCTGTTCATACTGGCCGAGACATCATATTTAGCAGATGTTTGTTTTTTAAACTGTTCTATGTACTGTTGTACACATTCCACATAAAGGATTACCTGAATATAACTTTAGTTCAGCGCTGGTTTAGTTCAGTTCAATGTTGTTTTTTTGTGCTGACTGTAAGAGTTTAGTTAAAATGCTGTGATGCTATGATACTCTGCTGTGAATTCTAAACTTTAAACCTTTTCAATTATTGTTTAACAAACTTGCTTTCTTTTAGGTATTAATTAAAGTCCATGCCTGTGGGGTGAATCCTGTTGAGACATATATTCGTTCCGGGAATTACGCTAGAAAACCAGCTTTACCTTACACTCCTGGCACAGATGTTTCTGGTGTGATTGAAAGTGTTGGGGAACATGTGACAACGTTCAAGGTATTTATATGGTGGCTTTTAATTCATTACTGTGTACTGAATCCTCTTTGTGTGATTGCTGTACTACTGTTACTGTTTTTCTGCTTATAATAATCTATTTTGGAGGGAGAAAATCATTTTCATTGACTGACAAAAGCTTGCAGCAGGATCATACTGGCAATGCAGAGTCTGCAGACTGAATTGTGGGGAAGTTTTTTAGGTTGCTGTGAACCTCCAAGTGTTACAAGGTCTCGGACAAGGCACTTCAGTTTGTCTGCTTAAAGCAATGATATCAAGTGTACAAATGTTGTGGTTCAGAAGTACTTTTATGGCATCACAGATATATTTGAAATTATTATTTGGTAATTCCATGCAAAACTGAAATAATTGTGTATGGCTTTCGGGGAAATGAAAATAGCTCTTATTTTGCTGACCAAAAAAAAAAAAAGCATAAATTAAATATTTGTTGTTAAGACAGGTCAAATACAGTCTAGTAATTTTACTTAGGTTTTCTTAGAGGGGAGGATATTTTGGAAAAAAAGAAGGCAATTATCATTTTGCTAAAAGATACCTATGAAATTTACATAGTTTTTACATCTGTTCTTCCTTTCAAGTTACTATAGACTTTTGGTCTCAGACAAATGTATAAATTACTGTTAAAATCATTCTGGAATTTCCCAACTTCAAATTTGTGTAACTGTTGTGGGAGAGGTGAGAGATTTGGTTATTCAGGGGGAAGAATCATGTTTCTTCATATTTTCTTATCAGTAGCTTGCTATATCTGCTATGTTAGCTTTTTGTTCCTTCCTCATGATGCTTGTTGCTTGAATAAAAGAGAGTAGTCTGCATGCTGTCTACTTACGGCAGTCAACACATAAATAGTAGAAAAATCAGTCTGTTTCCTGCGTAACCTAGTGAATTGATGGCTTGAGTATTCGCTGCTGAAGAACAGCTGCAGTATTTACTTACTTTAGGGTATATTAAGTGTGTCTTTTCTCCATGTTTAAACAAAAATAATTAAGAAACCTTTCTTTTGTGTTTGTAAAACTTTTTTTTTTCACTTGAAATCTGTGAATGAATTCTTTGATGGTCAAATTTATTAAGTTTGATATTAATGAGACAGTAGGTTTGTGTGTTACACTGTAGAGCACTGTAGAGCAGTAATTATGACACTTTAAGTATATGAAATTATATGGTTGCTGTTATGTTAATTGTATGCATTAGCATTTATAAAAACCTTCTCTGTGGCAAAGATAACAGTTCATTTTTAACGGGAGAGCTGTTAGAAATAGACCGAGCTAGTTCTTAATGTTTATTACAAAAGGAAGTAAGACAAATTATTAATTTCTCTATTTCCTTTTCCTGCTTTCTAGAAAGGAGACAAGGTTTTTAGCATTGATACGATCTCTGGAGGTTATGCAGATTATGCACTTGCTGCAGCTAATCGAGTCTTTCCTTTGTCGGATAAATTGGACTTCAAACAAGGAGCAGCAATTGGAATACCCTACTTCACTGCTTATCGTGCTCTTTTCCAAAAGTAAGTTGCCAAATCTAAGCTTCTGCATTTTACTTTTGAACATTTAAAATATTGAATCCCGTGTTTGTCATTGTCCTGTAAAATGGGGGGATGGAGACACTAACGTGTGTAGAATGTTTAAAAGACTTAAGTTTTATTTGTTATACTGAGAGAATTGTCAGATGATTTACCTAGAAGCTAGTGACTGTATTTTCCTGTTAAGTGTTCCTTCCTGAGAGAACAGACGTGGAAAGGCCTCTTCAGTATGTATCACATAATAAAAGTGCAACTCTTTTTCAGTGCTCACTGGTGTTCTAGCTAGGGAGGAAAAATGGGAATAGTTCTAATTCTTAATTAACCTGACAATGCGCTGTAGAACAGAATCACCTCTTTTCTTTATGAACCTCTCTGGTAAAGAAACTCTCTATATTGGCCTGTCTGTAGGACTGTATAATGAGTAAAAGCCAGACTTCCATGTCAGCTAGATGAGAACTTAGAATTGGAAGTCTGGTTTGGTGTAATAGAACAAATGGTTAAAACTAGTGTGGTTTATTTTAAGTTTTTTAGCAGGTGAAGATTGTGAATTGGGGTTCAGTATCAGACTGTTACATGCTGCTAGTTGCATGTTGACATAACTGTATGTTACTTGAATTCATAAATTAAAAGGTTTATTTTGTCTCCTTGTTTTCCAGAGTCTGATTATACCTGTTTAGTGATAACATAAACTGGAAATAATTATGTGTAAAAGATAATATTTAATGTCAGTATATGCACTCTAATATATAATGATTATGTATCATAATTGTAATGTCCATGTTTGTTTGTTTGTTTTTGTTTCCTTTCAGAGGCCATGCTAAAGCAGGAGAAAGTGTTTTAGTGCATGGTGCAAGTGGGGGTGTAAGTATTTTGAGAAGGCAGGTTGTAGAAAATGCTGTTTTCTGTCCTTCTATCTGCTTCTGTCTGATTTACGGTCACATTTGTATCAATAAATGGATTAACAAAATAGTTTTTTCTTCCAGACACTTTAGGATACTTTTTTTCTTAAAGCAAAAGCCCTGTTATCCCTAACAACTATGAAACTGCATGAATGATTGCATAAGGCCCCTAATAAAGAAGTCACATAATTAGCACATTGCTGCAGTTGGAAGTTGATCCAGAAGCTGTATAATCAATCTTCTTCAGGTGAATCTAATAATGAGAAGCTGTAATTTTAAAATACGTACAAGATGTTTTCAGTTCTCTGAGAAGTAATCACTGTTATGTAGCAACTATGCATTTCTGGGATATTTTTACTACTACCTAACAGCTACCTGCCCATGGAGAGATACTGGAACACATAAATTTATGACTGAATACTATGTTAAATTGCACATCTAATTTTCCTTGGTTTTACATGACAAGGTAACTTTGTATCTCTGTCACACAACATAGGAATTTAACTCATCTCTCATACTCTGCACTTTCTTGTTCAGCTTCTACTGATGAGCCAAACAACTGCTATGAAATGACAGTTTTACGAATTATTTGGTAGACAGCAAAAAGGTGATTTTGACAGTCTCATACGGGGAAGAATTCTGATATCATTCTAAAATACTGCAATGACGTTCAGCATCATAGCCTCTTTTTTTTTTTTTCCTCTATAAGCTAAATGTAGTGTTTCTATAGTTACGTATTTTACTTGCTTTCTTGAAATGACATTGATTTTTGGTTTGCTGAAACATATAGTCCAAATCAGTTTTTTCTGTGGAATTGTATCCTTTGCTATGGGAACATTTACAAAAGCTGTGAGATACACATATAGGGATGAATCACATGCTGAAGAGAAAAGATAGTTTGTGCTGCATCTTTTCTGTAAAGTCATGCTGTCTTCCATAATGATTCTTAAAAATGTACCTTCTTTTGAATTTTTCACTGATAATCAGTCTGGCTGTAATGCATTTTAATTGATGGCATGGTTGTGTTTTTTTTTTTTTGTTTGTTTGTTTTTAATATAATTAAAATCTGATGATATGCTACTGGGAAAAAGTCTACCCTTTTCCACGCAACAAAACACAAAATTTTACTGTGTCTCCAGAAACATATTTTCATTTACCAAAGACTATTGGGTTATCCTTAAGCTTCAAGTTGCCTATTATAGATGAAATAGTATCAGGCCAACTTTTTAAATGGTTAAGTTCTAAGTCACTGGTAAAATATATCAAATATTTTATTTTATCAAATAAAAATAAAATAACATTTGATAAATTTAGCATTTTGATATTTGATAAATTAAGAAAGAAAAGGCAAAACGTTTTTAATTTTTTCTTTCTTCCTCTTATTCAGGTAGGAATAGCAGCATGTCAAATTGCCAGAGCTTGCGGTTTAAAGGTTTTGGGTACGGCAGGAACTGAGGAAGGCATGAATATTGTTCTGAGAAATGGTGCTCACCAAGTATTTAATCACAGAGAAGCTAATTACATTGATAAAATAAAGGTACGTTTGTATCAGGCCTAGCTGATGCAGCATCTATTTTTCTTATTAACATTATAAAAATATATAAACAGTTGTTTGTGGAAGCTTTTAAAAATAAACGTATTTAGGAACAATAGTGAACTGCCTGATTCATTTCTACAAGAAGAAAAGATTTTCCAGGTCAGAAAAGCTGAGCTTTCTTCACAGGCAATGGCATTTAAAAACTTACACATTTCAGCAAATCCCAATATGATAATTTATCATAATTCAGCTTATCAAAATATGCTAAAGTTAAAATTATTAACTCTCAGCCTTAGCACAAAGCCTGTATTTAAAAATTAAATAATAAATTGTAATATACATGTTATCAGTAGCATATGAAATATGCAACAGCACCAAAGCAGTAGTTGACTTTAATAACATGTTACTGTATTTTGGATAGGAATACACGAAAATGCAAGGAGTTGATATAATAATAGAAATGCTCTCCAACATCAATCTTGCTACTGACTTGCATCTGTTGTCCTATGCAGGAAGGGTGATGGTAGGTATATAAAACTCACTGACTTGAGTTTTTTTTTTTAGCAGTGCAATTCAACAGTTATATCTTAAATTATCTTTTAACTTCATTGTAACAGGTTGTGGGCTGTAGAGGTACCATTGAGATAAATCCAAGAGACACTATGAGTAAAGAATCTAGCATAATAGGAGTTGGTCTGTTTCTTGCAACTGAGGTATGAGAATAACACTTTTATTTTAAAGAATGCTCTGTTGAACCTATTCCACTACCTCTGTATTTCCTGTTGAAATAGTTAGTCTGTTTTAAAAGGGGTAAAGAAAGCATATTTTTTCTGGAAGGAACTTGTTTATTGTTCTTTTACATTCTGATTTCATCTCAGAACATCATAAAGTATTCCTGGGTTGTAAAATTTGGTTTAAAGCTTGCAGAAATTATTAATACTTTTCTAAAATGTAAACAACTTGTGGTAAATGCTGTCTTTTGTTTTATGTAGGAAGAAAGGCATGAATGTGCAACAGCACTTCTTGATGGCATAGAAGCTGGCTGGCTGAAACCGATTGTAGGCTCCGAATATCCACTGGAGAAAGTGGTTAAGGCTCATGAAGACATTATTCATAGCAGTGGTGCTCGAGGAAAGATGGTGCTCCTTCCATAAAGTCTTCTTCCATGTATTTTCTAGCTGTTCTAACTGCACCTTTGCTTATATGATTCATTGAATATATTTTATAAAATATACTTTTGATCAGGTTTGAAAGGAACGGTAAATGCTAGCTTAGTAATTATATTGATTTATTAATTTGTTTTATTTTTCTAAGAAATGGACTTGAGCATACTTTAATTTTTGTAACTTTTTTGGCTGATGTGGAAATAATAACTTTTCTCTGCTGGTGTGGCCTTCTGATGGAAACCTAGTGATAGGGAAACTAGTATCTAAACTGGAATTTGAGATCATCCTCTTTACAGGGAAGCTATAAGTAGTGCAAAATGAAGCCTGCTTTTTAAGCAGATAGACAAATATATGTAGCTTACTATATGCATGTAACCAGGACTGTAAATTCTTTAGCTAATGTTTTATTCATCCTTTGTCACAGAATTTACTTAGAATCCATTGTTAAAGTATTAAGGTAAGAGACGGCCCCACAATATGTCTCTTTAAGCCTCTTCCTCAGATCTTAACATTTTGTTTTAATGCTTAGGGGACCACTATTGTAAGACCACACAGATAAAGGGAATGAAAAAATGCAAGTGTTGTACAAACTCAAAGACAATAATATGTGCTAGCAACTACCTGAAACATAAGCTGAGCAGAGCACATCAACAGCACCAAATTCAGTTTAACTGGTTTAAACAGACTCAGCACAGTCCACAGAAAAGGAGCCACCTCTTCTTGGTGTGGACTCGGACTCTCCGTCAGCTGCCTGCACGCTGACAGCCCACCCATTGGCAGGGACACCCCTGGTGGCAGCTGCCAGGGAGGGTGAGATCCAGTGTGGCTCAAGCATGGTGAGGACATTTTGGGGAAACTGATATTGGAGGGGTGACTGATGGGCAAGAGTGTTAAGTCATGTACCTGTGTTATTTGGAGTAAGGCCTTAAAGAATTGATTAATTGGAACTATATATCTAGCTGCAGTAGAAAAGAACTGAATATTTTTTTTTTCTTTCAGCTTTTTTTCCTTTTTCCTCCCTCTTTTTACTCATATGCTTTTAAATACTCTTTAGCTTGACCTTTGATCAGAGGGTGTTATGTGAGAGGTTTATGATTTACAATTATCCCTTTCTGGCTTAGTGCAGGTTCTGTATTATAGATAGATAGTGTTAAGAGATGAAATTTCAGAGCAGAGTTGTCCTGAGCAGTGTCTGCTGCGGGGTTGCTCACCAGAAGGTGTCAGGGTAGCTCTGCTGTTGCTGTTACACTGCTGGCTTCTCTGTACAAAGGTAACATAGCAAAGTAAGAAAACATAACAGACTGTTTTGTGAAGAAATTTAGAATAACAAATCTTTTGTGCATTTTTGAAGTTTTGCACAAATGGAAAAGGGTGTTTTAATATTGGAAAAGAATTGAATAAAAATAATGGCATAGCAATGAACACAAAATGCAGGAGGGAGTAAGGAAGCTGTAGTGGGTGCTTTCAGTCTAAGTGCAGGAGATGCATATTTGAGAGACCGGAATTGTATTGCTGGTGTTGTTGCAAAAGTAATTTTGGGCTTCAGCTGGTGTGTAAGACATTGTCACCTCTGTCATGCCAAGGGTGGGGGGAACAAGTTTCTCAGAATTGTAGGGGTTGAAAGGGACCTCAAGAGATCATTGGGCCCAACCTCCCTGCCAAAGCAGGTTCCCTAGAGGAACCTAAATTTGCCCATGACTCGGTTACAGTGGTTCCTATTAGGACTACTGTGCATTAGTTCAAGCCCACTTTCATAATGGTTCGTGGCTGTTCCAGGCTGTGTTCACTGTCAGAGAGACACTAATGAGCAGTGAAGGGACAATCATCTCTGCTAGACAACTTCCTCAGCTGCTGCAGTTAAATTTGTTAGAGCACTCATTAGTCACATTTCTGCCTAATCTTTTAGGTGTGTGTGATCCATACCCCATCTGTATGGTCCATGGAATATCCTTGTTTTAACTGTTGTCTCCCATGGTGGGGGCAAAAAGGATGGAGCAAGAAGATGAGGATCGCAGGCAACTGAGTGAGGCAGAGTAATCCTGTCAGCCAGGCTGTGCTACAGCAACTTGTCCCAATTTCATCAGCTGGGGCTTCTGAGCAGTGCTTCCCAGTGGCAGTCTGCTTGATACTGCCGCGAGGGCTGGGAGCAGGTTGCACAGGCTCAGTTCTGTGCTGGCCTTTGCACAGGCAGAAGAGAAGGCTGGGGTTCGGCGTGCACAGCTCATGCTGCGGAGACGTGTGGGTGCAGCCTGCAAACTGCTGCTGCACGAGCATCTGAAGCAGAGAAGGGTGGAGTTCTTCTGCAGTTCTTCTGCGGAGGTGCAGCACGGGGTGGGGGGGGCACCTCTCGCTTATCCCAGCAAGCGCAGAGCTCGCCAACGTGCGTGCCTCGGGGCTTGCCATTTGTCCTGGAAGCAGGGGAAGGATGCCCGGGCCGTGCCGCGCGTACCGAGCAGTGCCGGGCAGCGCCGCGCCCCCCGACCGCCGCAGCGCCCGCTCCCGGCCCGCGGGGAGCCCTGGCCCCGGCCCCGCCCCGCGGCGTCACCGCGTGGCCGTGCCCTGGCAACGGCGCGGACGCGGCGGCAGCGCGAGGCCCCCGCCCGGCAGCGCCGCGCGGACCCCGAGCGCTGCCCCTGGGCGCCGCCGCCCGGCGCCACCATGAGCGACCCGCGGCCGGGGTGAGTGGGGCGGCGGGCGCGGGGCCGGGGGCTCGGCGGGGAGCCCGGCGGCGGCGCGGCGAGGCCCGAGTCCCGTCCCCTCCGCGCCCCGCGGTCTCCGGCTCCCCTCGGCTCCAGCCGGCCGGGCGGCTTTGCCGGGGGAGACGAGGAACCGGGTGAGGAGCTGTTGCAGGAGTCACCGTGCAAACGTACTCGTTCCCCGGCTCCTCGGGCAGCGGGACCGCTGACCTGAAGGGTCTGCATTGGTAGGCGACGCTTTCTTAACGATTCCGTGCATTTGCAGCTTTGTAAGAGCAATGACTGCAAGCAACCTGAAAGACATAAAGGTATTTTCTGGCGCTGCAGGGTAGACAAAGCGGTGGTTCGGATGCTTGTGAGGAGTCTGGCTGCTGTGCTGCATGCCTCGGAGCGACCTCGGGCAGCCTGCGTGGAGCCGAGCTCTGTAATCCCGGGGCCTGAGCGACCCCTGGCTCTGCGCCTTCCTCCTCATCTGACCAGCTCAGGGGGGTTCCGAATTTCCAGAGCTCCTCAAGCTGATGTGAGCTCCTCGATATTTGTGATTGAGGACCTCTGCAGCTTTCTGTATCCACGGCTGGGTTTGAGACATTCCGTTTCAGCGGACAATGTTCTGAATAAAGAAATCATAATGTAACTTGCTCAAGGCCATGCAACAGTTTATTGCACAACAGGAGTCTTTTAGTGGCCTTTTCCATGTCTAGTTGTGTTCAGGATTGGAATTTGTAGCGTGATTTGAATATTTAAAATCCGTTGGAAAAGCTGGTATGTGTGAAAAACCCTTTTATAAAGAACAGTATAGAAAATATATGATTAATTAATTATTAACAAAATACTTAGAATCTTTTTCTTGGAAAACTGTTTCACTCTAGTTGCTGCAAATGGCACTTTTGCAGTCTGGAAGGCATCTGTTGTTAACACGGCTGTTGGGAAACAACAGTGTTGAGGCTGATTGTGTTGTGTCCACGGCTATGTCAAGGAATACCTGCGGTCTGCATCTGACACCAAAAGCAGTGAAAATTGCCCAGCCATGACTTACAGAGAGCTTGCTGAAGTGGATGAAGCAAACCACTTCATCCAACACATGGGTTTTCCCTATGCTCCTCACAGGTTGGGTGTAAAGCAGGTTCTTTGCAGAAAGCGTAAAGCTATGCCAGCCTAGTACAACTGCCAAATGAATCCTAGGATCAAACAATAATGCACAGTGGAGAAGACCACATAAGGTTTGTAGTCCAGTTCCTGGTGCGCAGTGAGACCAAGCCAGGTCACTTTATCCAAACTGATTCTGGAAACCACAAGGATAGAAACTGTGGGCGACCTCTCCACCCTGTGACTATCCTCATGAGGAAAAGCTTCTCCGTCAGACCCTGCCTGCACCTCTCCTGTTTCTACCAGCATCTGTTGTCTCTTGTCCTCCCACCATGCATGGCAGTGGGGGCCTGCCTGGCTCCCCAGAACTGCCACTGCTCCAGGCTGCGCTTGCTCCCTCAGTCCCATGGCAAGGGCTCCAGCTCCCAATGTCCCAGTGGCCTCCAAATGTCCAAAACCAGACACAGCAGTGCATGTGGGGTCTAGTGAGTGCCAAGTAGTGGTGACAAACTGTTTCCTCATTCTGCTGGCCATGCCCCTCTGTACAGCCAGGGTACCGCTGGCTTCCCTCGCTGCTGGGGCCTGCAGCTGGCACCTCCTCGGCTTGTGCCCTCCGGACCCAGCAGGGCCTTTCCAGCAGAGCAGCTCACAGCCAGGCTGTGCGGAAGGGCATGGCCACCAGGACTTTACATTTGTGTGCCTTCAGCTTTGTGAGGATCCTGCACCAGGCTCAGGCAGAGCGCTGAGCAAGTCACTGCTTCTAGTGCAGCATAGCTACTTTTGGATACCCGCAGAACAAGTTCACTTTCATTTGCTTGTTAGACCTACAGATGCCTTTGAGCTTGGTGACCATCCCTCTTATGGCAAAGCATTCATAAAATAAATGATAACATTCTCACCGAGTATCTGGGCAAAGAATCCTCAGTGCTTTGGCCATTAAGTAGGTCAGTCAGAAGAAGGGTAGGGAAAGTTGTGTAAAGATTTTGAAACAAAAGCCCAGGCAGGTGTGACCTGTGTGTCCTTGTCTCAGTGGGAGACCAAACGACTGGGGCTGAAGTGGTCCTGCAAATATTTGAGCAGAGATACAGAGTGATTTGGCGCAACCACAACCTCCCCCTTACTTGGTTGAGTTACCACATGAGTAAAACTACACATGTGATTAGGGTTTTGTAGGCTCGAAATAAAGTGATTAATTATTGTTAGAATCCAAAATCCCATTAAACTTTCAAGTCAGCTGCTGATTTCAGTGAGTAGTTTTTTTTTCCATCTTTTTTTTTTTTTTTTCAGTAGTTGAGTTCTAGCATGGTTTCTCATAAAAGGAGCAGTAGTAGTGAACATTTGTAGAACATTAATAAATGTAGAAACTCAGGCTGTGCCTGGGGGTAAAGTCCAAAGGCTTTGCAGTTGTTGGTCAGTCAGTGACCCATTTGCTTAGGTGCACGGTTTCCCTTCTTTGCAGAAGGGCTGTGATCTAAGGCCTAGTTACAAGTGTTACAGCCTGTATCCGACACGGCAAGAACCTCCTTTTGTGGAGGCTGAGGGGAAGAGGAGAGGCGCAAAGAGAGAGGAATGCAAACACATCCTAGTCAGTTTCTGCATTTCCTTCGCTTAGCTTGAACTTGGAGTCACCAAACAAAACCAGCATTTATGTAACAAAGAGTGTAACAAAGGCAGCAGTCTGTTTCCCGAATGTCTGTGATGAAATCGTGCCATCTATTTTTTGCACGTGTGACAATTTGGCCATTCCCAGCTAGGATTCACAAAGTCCTGGCTTCCAGGATTTAATACTGAATTCTAGTTCTGCAGAAAAAAACACTTTGGCAAATCTGATCTTAATGATGTTTAAAGACCCTGACAGCCTTTTTTTTGGGAAGAAGGCTGTAGTTCATGGTGGCTGAATAATTTCCGCATGGAGGGAATGGCAGATGGTGGTTGGGTATCTGGAAGGCCTTGTGATCTTGTCTCCCATCTTGTCCCCCAAGCAGATTGTGCTGTTGCAGGTGCCCCTGCCTTGTGCAATATTGAACTTGCTGTTTGTGGTTAACAGCTTGTGCGTTGGCATTACGGTTAGCCAAACAAGCCAAAACAAGCTTTTCTTGTTTATGTATCCAGCAGAAACAATGCAAGATTCAGTGGTTTATTAAAGGTTAGGAATGCCTCTCTCAGGTCAGGGCTGGGACTGTTGTTTGACTGGAGCAATAAGCTGCAGTTGTAACATACGACACAGGAGCTGTAACTCCCTGTGCCTCTACCAATCAATAACTAAAGTTTGATGCCTTCCTAGATTATTTATTTGGTGAGCAGTCACTGACTTCATTGCACAGTAAATTATTAACTTTGAACATTTGCTTCATAAAACTAACGTAAGAGGCCTGCTGTGACTTTTTGTTTGACGTCCCTTCAAAACACTGAGAATGGTCATCAAAATCATTGTGATACACAGCACTAGCTCTGAATACAGTGCAAGGTGCACTGTGAGCTGATAAAAAAATGGATACTGTTAATAAAATAACAGTGGCAATGATAATGCAATGAAACTCATGTAGAATATAGAGTTCCAAATGGGCAGTTCCTTGATTTGCTGAAGTCCTAGTCATCAGCTGTAGTGCGTTTTATGTTTTGTGTGGTCTGTCACACACGGCTGGACTCCCTGTGCTGCAAAGGGAGTTCTCTGTGCATTTTGGTCTGATGCGTATTGTACTTTAGCCCCAAATATATTTTTAAAACAGCAAACTAAACTGTGGCTCTTCCGGTTTCTGTGGTACCATTCTGCCAGTTAATCTGGGTATTTGCAGTTGCCTTTATTAATTTATTACTTCTGTTATTGGGAAAAAGGAGGACTTGGCTCCAGTGACAGCAATTAATTTTCCTGAATGAGCTGTGAAGGTGTCACCCTGGAAATGTAAGCGATACTGAAGCGTGAGAGGCAAGCAGCAGAAGTGCCGCTTGTGTCAGAGGCTGAAGGTGAAGCTGCTGCAGTGCAGAGCCCTGGGAGGGGACGAGTCTGCTGCCCCGTGCTGGTGGCTGGCACGCAGGGTGCTCTGCTTCCCTCTGGCCGGGGCTTCCTGAGGTCATTGCGTACCCACACAGAGCATGTGCCCCACACGTCATGACTTCTGGTAGAGTGTGCGCCCTGGGCGAGGAAGTGACCTGGCTTAGTTTCCCACCTTTTTGGGGGTCCAGAAAGTCTTTGTGCTCAGATGACTTTGGGGATGGGAATCGTAGCTGGCCTCACCTGATGGGAGAGCTCCTTGGCAGCTCTTCCCCGCCTTGGCAGGTCCATGTTAACTGAGCTTTAGAGGTTTGCTCTTTTTCAGTAGAACTGGCTGGTTAATAAAAGCTGCATGTAAATTGGAACAATTTTCATTTTTACTAGTTCTCCAGGTAACCAATGACAGGTGTGCGGGAATGCCACAAAGCTGGGCTGGGGAGGGTCAGACTGGGCATTAGGTAAAATTGTTTTATTGTGAGGGTGGTCAAACACTGGGACAAGGCTTCCTAGAGCGGCAGTACATGCTCCTTGCTAGTCAGTGTTCAAGAGGCGTTTGGGCAATGCCCTGAATAATGTGCTTTAACATTTGGTTAGCTGTGAAGGGGTCAGCAGTCAGACTTGATGATCATGGAAGGTCCCTTCCAACTGTTCTGTTCTGGTCTGGTCTGGTCTTTTCTACATGGTCCCATGCTGTAAAATTCTAGTAATGTGAGAAGCAAAATGTTTTTTGACTATTGACTTTTTGCTTTAGAAATTAAGACTGTAATTAATCTCTATTGTAATGTAAAGTGTATTCTGGCCTCTGATAGTAAGCAAGATAAAGGACATTTATGGAAAAAGTGGACTTAATTGAAAAGTTCTCGTTAAAATACGATGCTACTGTTTTTCAGTGACTGTAGTAAAAGTTCTGTGTCTGAAATGACACTGTTGAAGAATTTAAGATTTCTTAACTTGAATCAGTCTTGATTGGACATGCATTTGGGGAACTCAGCTCAAATTTAGATGCAAGTGAGGGAGGATTTTGAACAAATTGATTAAAAAAAAATCAGAAACAAACTGATTATATCCAAGAATTCTGAAGAGCCTTAAATATGAAATTACTGAATGAATGATGATATGTAGTCATTGGCAGTGATACCAAAGAAACAAGTGAGATACTAATTTTGAGAAGAGCTTCAAAACTAGTTCCAGAAACTACAGGTCAGTCAGTCTAGGTTCTGTGCCAGAAAAAATACCTGCAATTGTAATAACAAAGCAGATTTTTTAAATAAGAGAATAAACAAGATGGACAGAGAAAAATGACTTCCAGCAATATCCAGAAAAATGACTTTTTGCGCTTACTAAGGTATAGCAGTAACAAGCATTTTGCATAATTCTGTTTAAGACTGATGTTTTTTCTTTGCTATGTGTTTTTCCAACAAGCATTTTTGTCAGTTCTGCACTTTCATCTGTTATAGAGGATTTAGAGGTGACATTTGTGTATAACTTCAATATTTAAATCTGAAGGAGATAACTTCTTTGACAGGAACTTCTATTATTTTTTGTTGTTAGTATGTGCAGGATCAGAGAAATAAATGAAACCAACGATCTGCTTTGCTGAGGAGCTTGTTTCTGACTGATATCAAGTTAGATAACTTTAGTGTTATATCTCAGATAACTTGCTCAGAAGTTAAAAGCTGCTGCATTATTCTGTGAAGTTAATAATGAGCCCAGATCTGTGTTGTAGCAGCTCTGCTACTGCATCTTTCTGAATCATCTTCCTGTCTGTTTTACCTCTGTAATTTGTAGGCAGCATTCTGAATTTTCATGGTTTGTGAGTCTGCAGAGACTGAAAGGAAATAGCTCTTGGGATGTGTCCCTTTCACCACACTGCGCACGTCTGTGCTATGGTCATCTGTTGGCACAAGGGAACACAAGCTGTGGCTGAAGTTTAGCCTTGAAGATACGCTGAAGATACGTTGTGCAAATGAAGGGCACAGATCTCATCCAGAGGTTAATGTCTTACCCTGGCAGCCCATAGACTGGAAAGTATGCCTGCCTTCCGTTCTCTGGAGCACTGCACAAGTCTGATCCTTTGATGCCAATGGGATAGTCCAGAAGGATTTTGACCAAGCCAAGGCATAGTACTAATATGACCCAATCCCACCTATGCCTGCCTAAAATCTTCTGGAGGAAGGTGAACTGGGCATGTGAAGTGAGCAGGAAAACTGGCAGATCTCCTTCCAAGTGAGCATGAGCTTGCAGGGCCAGCCCCTGCTTTCTGCATTTGGTTTGAAGCTGAATGCGGGTCGGTGCCTGGGGTGCTGTGCATGGCTCCTCCCTCTGGCACCCTGTTTTCTTGGCCAGGAGGCATTTGTTCATCTGGGCAGGGAGTTCAGGCTTCTGTTGGCAGTGTGGCTCTGCCAAAGCCCTCTGGATTCAGTTGCATTCTAACAGTTCCCATGGCTTTTGGTTCAGGCCCAAAACATTTTCTTATTTCTCCCAATACTCTGTTGAACTTTGAATTTAATTCACTTGTTCATAATTTAAATGAGAAAATAAGTATAAAAGGATGTCTGTGAAACTATATTTGCTACATCTCTGTGGTCAGAGGGAACTGCATTTTAACTAATTCCACGATCCATGAAATATTAGATGGAAGGAATCAAATGGAATGGAAAGGACTGGAATTGAGTTTCTCCTCTGCCTCCATATGCAATTGCTAGGCGATAAGTAAACACTTAGGTGCAACTGATGTAATCTTGCAGTTTCAAATGCAAACACAAACAATGGATGAAGAAAGTAATGCAGAACAGTTGCTATAGTACCAGTGTTTAATCAATATGCATAACAGGGTAAACTAAATTGTTTGTTTAAAGTTCAATTTATTGTTGGTAGGCTACCTGTGAAATTACTGTGAAACCCCAGATAAAATTCCAGTAAATTCATCATCTCTCTCTCTCTCTTCTTCTTTTTTTTTTTTTTTTTTTTTTTTTTGTCTTCTTTCTTTCCTTGAATATACTTTTGTGCATGGTAACTCAGCCTAGCAATAGACATTTATCTTGAATGATCCCATTGAAAGATATGTAATACAGGTATAGTGGTATTTAAATTTAAAGCCAAAGGGAAGAAGAGCTCTCTTACTGTGTTAGTTAAAACATATTCTGCCTACACAGATGAAAGGTCACTATGAATATATTATGCAATATGTATCCGATTGTATACATTTTACAGATGTGAATGGATATAGAACATTAAAAAATTAAGCCT